TCCCGTCCACTCTCTCTGACTCTAATCTCTCTCTCTCCTCATTCTCTCTCTCTCTCTCTCTCTCGACTCTCTCTCTCGTCCTTCGCTCTCTTCTCTCTCTCTCATCTCTGCTCTCGTCTCTCTCTCTCGTCTCTCTCTCTCTCTCTCCTCTCTCTCCTCTCATCTCTCTCTCTCTCTTCTCTCTCGTTCTCTCTCTCGTCTTACCCTTCTTCTCTCTCTCTCTCTCTCTCTCTCTCGCTCTTCTATCTCTTCTCTCTCTCTATCTCTGTAGTCTCCGTATCGTCCTATCTCTCTCTCTGTCATGATGGGCGGGGTGCGGCTATCTCCTCTTCTACCTCTTTTTTTCTCATGCTCTCTTTTGCTGGCCTCTGTCTATCTATCTATCACTCATCTCTTGCGTATATATTCTCTCTCTCTCTCACGTTCTCTCTAGTATCTCAATATCTCTCTCTCCTGTCCTCTGATCTATCTCTTCAATATCTCTCATATACTCTTCTCTATCTCTCCTATCTCTCTATCTCTCTAGATCTCTCTTCTCACTCTTCTTCGCGTCATATACTATTCTCTATCTATCTCGGCTTGCTCTCTCTCTTCCTCCTCTTGTCACCGTCTTCTCTCTCTCTCTCTCTTTCTCTCTCTCTCTTGTCCTCTAACTTCTATCTATCTCTCGTCTTCTCTATCTTATCCCTCTATCTCGTTCTCTCATCTTGCTCTCTCTCTCATCTCATCTCTGTCATCTCCAGTATATATATATTGTCTCTCGTACTCTCTCCTCATATATCTCTCTCCTATATCTCTCTCTCTCTCTGATCTACCTCTGCTCTCTCTCTCTCTGGCTCTCTCTTCTCTCTCTGCTCTCTCTCTCTCTCTCTCTCTTCTCTCTCCTCTCTCTCTCTCTCTCTCTCTCTCTCTCTCTCTCTCTCTCTCTCTCTCTCTCTCTCTCTCTTCTGCTCTCTCTCTCTCTCTCTCTCTCTCTCTCTCTCTCTCTGATCTTTGCTATCTTTATCTTTCTGTTTTTAGCATCACCTGTACAGTGAGTTAATTTCCCTGTCTCTCCATCTCTGTGTTTCTAGGATCACCTGTACAACAACGAGCCGGGTCTCACCGATGACCTTGACAACATCCTTAACGAGCTGACGATGCTCAACCGCGCCGAGAACGCGCGCGTCGCACTCCGCGCCCGCCAGGTAGCGCCACCCACCCCCTCCGCTGCATGCACGCTCGCGCTGCTCTCATTCCTGGTCTCGTCAGGTCTCTCTAGAATTTCTAGAAATCTAGATACACATAGACACATGTCTTAGCTATAATCTCTGTAAATTTTGAGTTTTTTGAAGCACGATTAGTCTAATTAATTACTACGGACCATTGTACAGCGTATCCATACAGCGCTGTACTTAAGCGGCAGCGGTGTGGATCCATTTGGAAACAACATGGAGTCAAATCCTGAGTTGGCGCAACTCTCTGTATATAGGGACTCTAGATGTAACGTGTCACGGTGTAACATGATGTAACGTGTCGCGTCATGATGTGATGTAACACGTCATGCCGTAACATGATGTAACGTGTCGCGTCATGATGTGATGTAACACGTCATGCCGTAACATGATGTAACGTGTCGTGTCATGATGTGATGTAACGTGTCACGGCGTAACATGATGTAACGTGTCACGGCGTAACATGATGTAACGTGTCACGGTGTAACATGATGTAACGTGTCGCGTCATGATGTGATGTAACACGTCATGCCGTAACATGATGTAACGTGTCGTGTCATGATGTGATGTAACGTGTCACGGCGTAACATGATGTAACACGTCACGGCGTAGCATGATGTAACGTGTCACGTCATGACATGATGTAACGTGTCACGGCGTAACATGATGTAACGTGACGTGTTCGCAGGTTCTGATTGCTGCGCACCAGCCGTCGTATGAACTGCGTAAGAACCAGATGGAGTCCATCTTCCTGTCAGCCGTCGACATGTACGGACACGAGTTCAGACCGGAGAACCTACAGGTGTGTACGACCTCCGCTAATTAATTAACTAATTAATTAATTAACCGCCCCAATTAAAAAAAATATTTGCTTGCCCTCACCCGACCCAGGCTGAAAAGTTTGGGTAGGTAGGTAGGCTTCATTTTTTTTTTAGGGGGTCTTTTTACAAATTTAGCATGGTGTCTACCAGCTCGGGTGTGCTTGTGTGGAGATACCTTTTATGTTAAATGTTTGTTTTGCTTGGTACATATAATGTATTGCCTACAGATTTATATAATGTACAGTGATACAATTTGTAAAACAAAAAAGAATCGGAAAGATTAATAAAAATATTTGGAATCTGCCTCTTTTTGGCGGGTCGGTCGAGTGAGGGCAAACAAACAATATTTTTTTATTATGGCCTTACGTGGCGACACTGCAGATACTTCTCTTATGACAAAAACTTGTAAGGATTTGTAATGAATTTATCAGCTCTAGTAATGAAATTGCCAGATGTTGGGATGAAATCTGTCTCATGAGATCTGTTCTCACGTCTCTTTCTTCCTTCCCCCTCTCTCTTTCTCCCTTCCCTTTCTCTCTTTCTCCCTCCCTCCTCTCTCTCGCCTGCTCTCACGTCTCTCTCTCGCCTGCTCTCACGTCTCTCTCTCGCCTGCTCTCACGTCTCTCTCTCGCCTGCTCTCAC